TCTCCACCCCCGGCTGAATCATTCCGCGCTCTGGGATCCCACAGAACAGTCTATTTTGCTATCAGAGTGGACCAGGAGAGCAGAGTGGTTAGAAGCAGGGACTGGCGGAGCGAATGCCACAGCTAGCTATGGGACCATGGAGCAATCTCTGACTTTCTGAACCTCAGTTTCCTCCTCTGTAACCCGGGAGAAATAAGAGTATCTACCTCCCAGGGTGGTGGTGAGAATTATTTGAGATGATGTATGCAAAGAACCCAGAACAGTATCCAGAAGATGGTAGATATTCAACAAATGATACTCCTTCCCATCTTGTGAGCCAGCACTGGGTCACTGTGTGGTTTCAGAGAGACCGGGGAGAGAGCCAAATCGGGGGTCCCGGAAGCAGCACTGGAGGTGCAGGAATTAGCTGCATCTGTCTGGGGACTCCCAGCCCTGAGACCTTCCGAAAGCCTCTCTCAAGACTCGTGGCACATGACAGCCAGGAAATCCGCACCCACACGATTCAACCACAAACCCAGAGCTACCACAGAGCCCAGAGGCAGATGAGAAATAATCAATGACAAAAACCACCCGGGAGTTTTCGGGTTTTCATCAGAATTTTCCATTTGGGTAAATGGTATCACCACGCTGTGTCATTCATTATCTTAATTGCTGGTTTGGGGGGTTGTTTTTTATTTTGTTTCCCCAGTTTCAGGCAGTCAGACTCAGCAGAGATTACTCATTCCAAAGAAAGTGCGTTCTTTCTATTTTGGCCAAATGGCGGTTTGAGTTTCCTCAGAATGAGAAGCTTCCTCCTGCCTCCTTTGAAAGACGGTTCTTATTTCATTTGCAGAGCCAGGAGGGGTTTTAGGCTGTCAGATCCCCAAACCCCCTTGCGAGGCAGGGAGCTTCAATTCTGGTTATTAGTAACAATTACTCTGATACGATGAGGTGCTTAGTAGCTCCCAGAGGTTTTCAGATCTGGTGCACAGCTGGAACTGTGAGAGCGGGAAGGGGTCACAAGTGCCATCCCGATCAGGTGCGTGGCCGACAGTGAACTGCTTCCAGCAAGACTCGCTTGACAGTGTACGCAGGGTATCACTACGCCATCAAAACCCTCCAGCGGCTCCGCTGCATTTAGGATGAAATCCACACACCTTACCACGGCCTACGCGTCCCTGCACCAAGCATCTCTGGTTTTTGTCCCTCTCCTTCCTACACCTAGCCACGCCAGCCTTGTCTGTGTTCCTAGTGGAGGCCAAGCTTGTCCCTCTCTGGGGGCATCTGCGCTTACTGCTTCTTCACATGGATGCTGCTCCCCCTATCTGCATATGGCTGGCTCAGCTCAAATGTCACTCGCTCTAAGTATCTTAAACAAGTACCACCCTCCGTCACTCTCAATGACATTACCCTGTTTGGCTTTCCCCATAGTGATTATCTTTAGCTGCAATTATCTTGGCTTATTTTGTGTCCCTCTAGCATGGCAGGTCCACCTTGTTCATTGCTGCATCCCAGAGTAGACCCCATGCCTGACACACAGAGTCAGTGCTCAATACGCAATGAATAGATGGATTTTATATCCTTTTTAAAAAATCTGAGCCTCATCCAAACTCTTTGCAGTAGACATCACTGTTATGCTTATTTTATAGTCAAGGAAATGGGCTCTGAACAGGGACTGATTTCTTCAAGGCCACTAACCTGGTTATTCTTTGCTGTGTAACAAACCACTCCAAAACGTACTGGCTTAAACCAAAGCTGGGTTATTCCTTCTGTTCTCTGGGTTGGCTGGGCAGTTCTTGTGCTGGTCCTGCCTGAGCTCACCCATGTGACTGCATTCAGCTGCCAGGTCTGCTATTAGGGCCGGGACCACTGGGCATCTCCCCCCATGTGCCCTTTCATCCCAGACGTCTTCACAGCACGGTGGGCTCGAGCACTGTCCCGAGAGGGTGAAAGCTGACGCTGCAAGCCTAGCCTTGGAAGTCACACAGCATCACTTCCACTGGGTTCTGTTGGCCAAAGCAAGTCACAAGGCCAGCCTGAAATTCGAGGAGCAGGGAAATATACTCCACCACTTGATAGGAGGTGCTGTCCCCTTGCAAAGGAGCCTGGGCTGAATTGTTGTGTCCATTTTTGAAAAATCTACCATACCTAGTGAGTGTCGGAACCAGCCTGGCTGAGCCTCTGACCCACTAAGGCAGACCAAGCGACCATGACTATCTAGCAACATCAGATGACTGCAGAAACTGTGAGGGCCTTCAACAAATCTCTCTCTCACTCACATCCCATGTCCACTGGGGGCTGGCTGGGCTTCTGGGACTCCATTCTGGGACCTGGTGACAGGGCGGCCTCTTTCTGGAACGTCACCTGAACAGCACCAGTCCCACGGCAGACAGGAGGGAAATGTGGCAGGCACTCGCTGGCCCTAAAGCCTCTGCTCGGAAGGGACACACATCTTTCCGCCAACACATCAGTAGCCAACCACGTCACAGATGCATCATCCTCTTCCTGGGAAGGGCATGAAGGTGCGCAGATGGCGATCTCACCACCGTGAAGCCTGTTTTCCTCTGTAGCTTCTTTAAAAAACAAAACAAAACAAACAAAAAAAACAAAAAACCATTCTTCACGGAGAGAAAAGCCTGCTCATTCCACTTTTACCATTGGTCCAAGTGCGGGTCTCTCATGTGTTTCCTCCGCCCAGAGGTCCTTCATAGAGACAAAGGTCACTGGAACCTTCTCTTCTCCAGGACACACCAACCCCTGCCTAAAAACATGCTGTAATCCCCCACTGGCAACAGGATCAAGTCCGCTCTGCCACCCAAGCTCCCCACCCCTGGGCTTGCAGCGCTGCCCAACTTCACGCCGCGGGGCCTTCCTCTGTGCTGTCTCCTCTGGCTGCACAGCCCTTTCCCTCTCTCCGCCTGTGAAATGCGGCTTCCCCTTTGTGGGCGGGCTCTGAAGTCATCTCCTTTTTGAAGACAATCTTCTTTTTCCCTTGTCAGGGTCAACCAACTTTTCCTTTTTCTAAACCTCTTCATTATAGCATCGTTTCATTCACTCATTTGGCAAACATATATTGAGCATCTACTACGTGCCAGGTACTGTTGTAGGCTCTGGGGAGGCACAGGGAACAATACAGACAAGGTCTCTCCCTCCCCGGTTATATGCTGGTGAGGTAAAACGGGCAATAAGCATATAAACAAATGAATAGAAAAAATAATTTTAGACAGTGATAAATATGTTCATTACAATAAAAAGGGATGCAATGAAAAACACTATGGCAAAGGGGTGACTGCTTTAGATAAGACAGTCAGGGTGACCTCCCTGAAAACGTGACATTTGAGCAGACATGGGAGCAGGGAAGAGCTTTCCTGGCAGAGGGAACAGTTGGTGCAAATGGCCTGCGGTATGTTCCTGTTCCTAGGAGCAGGCAGGAAGCCATTGTGGTTGAGACACACAGAGAAGTAAGGAGTGGTGAGAGAGAAAATCAGAGAGGTGAGTCGCATAAACCATGCAACCACGCAACCACGTGGGACATCTTGGCAGTGACAAGAAACTTGGGTTTCATTCTAACTACAACGGGAAGTCATGGGAGGGCTAGAAGCAGGGGAGTAGAAAGGCATGGCGTGATTTACACTTTTTAGAGATTACCTGAGCTGCTTTGTGAACTGCAGGTGAGCACGAGAGGAGTCAAGAAGACCAGCTTGGAGGTTCTTACCATGCCAAGATGATGGTGACTTGGACACATGGTGCAACGACAGCCTCCCTAGAGGCTGGGAACTCAGAGCGCCAGAGACCATGGCCCCTTAGTGTGTGCATCTCAGCCCCTAGCACAGGGCTGGGCCATGGCGACAGAATGGCTTAAGGTGGTGTATCAACCAGCAGTGGCATTTGCCTGAAATTTCTGCCAGCTTAACCCTTTCACCTTTGCCCTCCTTTGCCAAGCTTCTGCGGGAATCCCCACACACCAGGTTCCCCCAGAGGCCAGGGACAGCCCATCCGACTGCCTGCTGCCCAGGCCTGGCACGTGCCCCGCCAGCCCACCCGCCCGGCTCCCTCCAGTGAGGTCTGCCCAGTCAGCACAGCGGCCTTGATACCTCCATATTTAGATCGGTTTTCTCATCTGAGCCTCCATTTCTTACCTGGAACGTGGGCACTATACTCCCTACCCAAAAAGCTGCTTTTCCCAAGGCCCACCTCCCTACTTCTCTTCCTCTTCAGCCCTTCCTTCAACCAGAACAAATCCACTCTAGAGTTTTTTGAAGTTTTGCTGATTTTTTCTCTTTTTTTGGTAATTAATAACCCCTGGACTCATTGATGTCTATGTGCCCTTTATCCTCTGGCCTCCTGTGTCTCTAGGTTTCAGAGCCCAGAATTATCCAGGCATTTCCTTCGAAACTAGTTCTTTCCCCCTTGTAGCCTAATTGGTGGCTGGGTCCTGGGACCCAAGGTGAGGGAGGCCACCTGGTCTGGGCCTCTGCCACCCCCCAAGCCCCAGGGCAGGCCCTCGCTGTGGCCAGAGGCCACCTGCAGGCCACGGTGAGGAGTCTCCTTCCACTCAGCCAATGTCCCCGCACGTGGACGCTGGGGCTTGGGCCAGGCCGCCCAGACAAGGGTGGGCTCACAGTGGGTGGGGGGCAGGGAGCAGGAAGGAGTTAGGGAAAAACGAGAGAGAAAGAGGGGGCCTGTGACGGAAAGGAAGAGGAAGCGGGAGGGTCAGAGTCAGAGAAGGAAAGAAGGTCTGAGAGAAAGGGAAAGAAAAGAGAAAGTGGGTGAGTGTGGGAGAGGGAGACGGGGAGAAAGGCAGTGTGTGGGCGGGAAGAGAGAGAAGGGGGGGAGAGAGAAGAAAAGAGAGAGAGGGAGAGGAGAGGGGAGGAAGGGGGAGAGGAGAGGGGAGGAAGGGGGAGAGAGCAGAGAGCGGAGAGAGGAGGCAGGGAGAGGGAGGGGAGAGCGTTGGGCGAGAAGGCAGGGCCGGAGCGCCGCGAGCGAGGCGGAGCGAGGCGGGGGCGGAGACGAGGGAGTGGGAGCGAGGCGTGGGGCGCAGGCCGCGCGCGCCGCCCGCTGCATCCCTGCCCGGAGCGCAGCCGGCGCGGGCGCGGACCGAGGCGAGCCAGTCCGGAGCCAGCGCCCGCCGCAGCAGCACCAGGTAACGCGGCCGCCGCCGGCCCGGGCGGCTCGGCTGGGGGCGGGGTTCGGGCGGGCACCGGGCGGGCGCCGGCGAGGCTGCTCGGGGATCCCCGGCGGCCGTCGTGGCCCCGACCCCGGCTTGAGCCCCGGCCCCGCGCTCGCCGGCTGTGCCTGACCTTGGGTAAGTGCCTCCGCCGGCGAGGCTCAGCGTCCTTCCCCGTGAGCCTCGGGGGTCGTGCCCGCCCCAAGAGGGCGTCGCGAGATGGGATGCAGCCGGGTCCACAGCAGGGTCCTGCACAGGGGCCGGCTTTATGACCCCTCTACTCACGCGGGGGCAGATTTGGAAAGTCCGCTCGCGTCGAGACAGTCCCTGTTTCGTCCCCGGGTCTGGGTGGTGGCATTTTCGCAGGGGGTCCGTCTGTCAGAGCGTGGAGCAACTTTCTGCTAAAGGAAAGCCAGGAGAGGGCCCGAGGCTGGTGGGGACGGGGGCTCTCAGGGCACCGGAGCGGCTGCCCTCTCCCTCCTGGGCTGCTGCCCACGCGGGGACCAGGACCGGCGCTCAGCGGCGGGAGGTCCTTCTGGGGGCATCGGGAGCGGGATTCTCCTGCGGGATGAGCCAGGCAAGTGGCCTCCGATCAGAGTCCTAGTTTGGGCGGTGACCTTGAGCATGTGCGCCTCCGCTTCCTTACGCCCCGCCACCGCCGTGAAAGGGGGCGTGCTAAAGCTCCCCTTTGGGTGGTTGTGAGGCTTAGGAGGTGGGGCGGGACAGTGGGCCCTGGTGGCACACCCTGACTCAGGTGTTCCGAGAGCCCTGGCGCTGGCTGCCTCCAGGGGAGTCGTTTGTGTGCTCTAGTCCTCCTCAGTCGCCTCTGCCAGAGATAGCGGACGGGCAGAGTTGGGTGGCGAAGCAGGGCCTAGGGAATTTGGGGGGCCCAGACGCCCCACTCTCCAACACCCTACACACATCCTGAGGCTGATGCTTCTCTAAAACATGACGTCTCTCAGCTGACAGTTTTTGTTCTATGAAGACTCCTGACTTAATCTCTCAGAGCCTTAGTTTCCTTATTTATAATAGGATGTTGTGGATTCCTACCTACTAATGAGTTCCCTGTCACTGGGGGTTCTCAGAGGCAATTGGATAGATTCCTTGCCATCTCTGACCCTGGGATATAAGGAGAATTGAATATCATGGGAAAGTAACATCTCGAGCACACTCTGTGTGGCCGTAGTACTGGGTACATTACGTACATGCACGACACTGGCTACCGTCACAACAGTCCTGGGAAACCGGTGCCATTAAACCCCAATTTACAGATGAGGAAACCGAGGCTCACAGAGGTAAGTGATTTCCACATGGTCACACTCATAGGAAGTACTGCGCTGGGATTGGACCCAGGTCTGCCTGACTCCAGGGTACTTTCAACAGCACCATGCTGGCCCCGAAATATGGCTGTGTAAGGGTCCTAGCACAGGGCTGGCACCTGGCTTGTGCTGGATCACCACTAGTTGCTTGTTCCGTGTGTAACAGGAAGAGCTAGGGAAAGTGAGCCTGAAGGCTGGCAGCCGGTTGCGGTACCTTTGCCAAGTGACTTCTCGAGGGGTCTGGGAGGAAGGAAGGTCACTACTCAGTACCACATAGGAAGCAGATAATGAGGCTGACTCACCCCAGCCTGCCAACTCCTTGCCCTTCTCATCACCTTGTCCTTTTAACCTGGTCTCCATTCATCCCGGCCTGGGCTGAGTCCCTGGCGCTCACAGGCACTTCCCGCGCTCCGTCCTAGTCTGGTGACTGACTGCTGAGCCTCCCAGCCAGATCATCCATGGGGAAAACAAGGCCAGCTGTGGTCCATCTCCACCAACACCCTAAAGAAGGAGAAACAAGATTAAGTCCCAATCCCAAGGATTTAATTCAGCCTTGGGGAAGAAATCCCTGATTCTAGGGAAAAGGGCGTCTAGAGGTGCCTTTGCCAAAAGTGTTTTAAAAGAGGAGGAATACATCCAAATGAAATGATGGGGATGTGAACAAAGGCTCTCTCAAATGCAAAGATATTGATCAACAATCAGGAAGTGCCTGAATGTCCAACAGTAGGGAATCAATGAAGTTGTGAGACAGCCATGCATGCGACACGGAGAGTTTTTAACCAATGGGGTCATGTTTATGCACGGGCGTATGTATGGCATGGTGCCAAATTTTTGGAACGAGCTTAGAAAAAAGACTGGAAGGAAATAGGCTAAAGAATGTTAGTGTTTATCCATGAATGGTAGGATTATGAGGGATTTGTTCCCTGACTGTACGTGTTCTGGACTTTCTGGATTTTATGCAATGAGCATTTACTTTAATAATTAGCAGATGTAGAACTGCCTGGCGTCTAGCCCTGAGAGCAGGGAGGGGGGTGCCTGATTCAAAGAAAGCACTATATGGTTTGATAAATCACTTGCCCAGTCTTAGAGGGCCTCCAGGCATATGGTAAAGACTGAATTGTCTAAAAGCACACAGTAGGTTTGCCAGATTGAATTTTTCACATCTTCTTGTCTCCTATCTTGTCCCCTACAATTTTGATACATACTTTATCCCACTGTCAATTTGATACTGAGAATGTTGCTCCCCTGCTCAAAAATACTCAAAGGCTCCCCATTCCCAAAAGGATCATGTCCCAAGTCCTTAGACTGGCCTATATGGCTTATTAGGGTCTAGTGTTTGGCCAGCCTCTTCACTTCCAGCTACCCCACCCCACCCACCCTCTGCTGGTCCTCCTACGACAGTCTACATCCAGCTGGCTGAATTAACGATGTTCTTGCCCACCTCCAAGCTTTGCATTTGGAATTTCTCTTGCCTGCAATGCCCTCCTTTGCTTAGCAACCTCATCCTACTCATCCTTCAAGATTCTGTTCAAACCAGATCTTCTGGGACCCCACAGTTTATAGGTAGGCTCCTCTTCCCCCAGGGCTCCTTGAACATGGGGACAATATAACCTACTTGCCCCTACCTTTTCCTTGCCAGTACCCAGGACAGGACTGGCACATGCAAGCTTGTCAGTGATAGGGACACTTCTGTGTTGAACCCTGGCATGCCCCTTAGAAGAAAGAAGGAATACAAAATTATTAATACCAATAATGTCTGACATGTGCTGTGTTCTTACCATGTGCTCATGTGTGGCTCCTGTTCAGAGTGCCAGCCAAGAGTCAGATGCATTCAGCCACTTGCCCAGTGTCACACGGGGTTCAACCCAGGTCAACTAAATCCAGAGCCTACACTCCTAGCCAGAGTCAGGAAGGGTTGACAGATGAGCCAACATTTAAGCCACCATCCCAGAGACCCTATGAGAAGCAGTGTATCCCTGCACTGTGCAGGTGACGAGATGCCTCAACAGTGCCCTCCAAGGCGTGAGGGTTTGTGCTGCATCCACAGGGAGCTCACAGGTGGTAGGGGGAGAGTAGTGTCAACGGTGTCCTCAGGGCTTTGACGGGGGGTGTTCAGGAAAGTGGGACCTCAGAGGGTGCAGGGTGAAGGCTGCCAGAGGTGGTGATATTGAAATGGGTCAGGAAGGATGAGCAGGAATCACCAGGTGAGCAAGCGGGGCTCGAATAGTGGATCTCGGCTGGGGATAGTTTTGCTTCCCAGAAGACGTTTGTCAATGTCTGGAGACATTTAATTGTCACAGCTTGGGCAGGGGTGCGCTGGCACCTAGTGGGTAGAGAACAGGGATGCTGCTGAACATCCCGCCATGCACGGGACAGCCCCCCACGGCAAAGAATTATCATGTCCAAATGTCCGTGGTGCTGAGGCTGAGAAACCCTGGGTGAGAAGAGAAGAGCGTTGCCGACGGCATCGGCTGGTGCCCGGCGTCCACGGATGCGCACTAGGAGCCTCCTCCGCGCTCGGGACTTTGAGCCTGTGTTTGCTCTGTTGGCCACTTGGCCTCGCTGCTCCCCCTCCGCCTCCACGTCCCAGGAACCAAAAACAAAAACAGAAAATCTATATTCTTTTTATCTTTTAAAAATTTATTTTTTGAACATAAAAGCTTTATAGAGGTATAATTCACATACTATAAAATCCACCCATTTAAACTGTACAAGGCACTGGTTTTTAGTATATTCACACAGAATTGTGCAGCCATCACCACTATCTGATTTCAGAACATTTTTTCATCACCCCAGAAAGAAACGTGTACACGTCAGCAGCCATCCTCTCTCCACTCCCCACTCCCACTCGAGGCTTGGCAACCAGGAATCTACTTCATGTCTCTATAGATTTGCCTATTCTAGACGTGTTATATAAATGGAATCATACAATAGGTTTTGTGACTGTCTTCTTATATCTAGCATGTTTTCAGCATTTATCCGTGTCATTGCATGTATCAGTACTTCATGCCTTTTTACGGCTGCATAATATTCCATTTTATGGATATGCCACATTTTATTTATCCATTCATTAGTTGATAAGATTTGGGTCATTTCCTTTTTTGGCTATTATGAATAATGCTGCTAGAAACATTTTCATGCAGTCTTTTGAGGAGACATACGTTTTCATTCCTCTTGGATGTATACCTTGAAGTCGAATTTGTAGGTCTCGTGCTAATGTTATGTTTAATTTTTTGAGGAACTGCCAGACTGTTTTCCAAAGAGGTTGCATCATGTTGCATTCCTATCAGCGGTGTATGAGGGTTCCAGTTTCTCCACATTCTCACTAAGGCTTATTATGTATCTTTTGGATCCTAGCCGTGGGTGTGAAGTGGTAGAATTGTGGTTTGGATGTGCAGTTCCTTGGGGGACTAATGAATTTGAACATCCTTTGGTGTGCTTGTTGGCCATTTGTGTATCTTCTTTGGATAACGGTCTATTCAGACCAGAGTCATTTTTTAAACTTCCTTGTATCATTCCCTTACTTGGACTGAAATGCAAACTCCACAGAGGTCTACAGGGCCCCACCAAGCCTTTGACTGCATCTCTCCTCACTTGCTCTGCCCTAGCCAAAGCCTCAAAGAGGCAAGCTCGTCCCCGCCCTCCGCAACCCATGGT